TAAATCTCCACAAGAAATTTTGAAGTTCGTTTCSGTTTCGTAATTCCAAATATAATCCACAAAAAARGATGTAGCAATTGACAACTCATGACCACAGACTGGCAAAAGAAAGGTCTGTTCATCGTACTTTGTTGAACATGTCGCTCTTGGTCCTTCTTCGCGCTTAACTGAACTTGACGATTTGATCCACGAAAAAAACRTGGCAGMGACGGGACCGCATGATTTCCAAACATTAAGGACATTGTTGTAGGAAAGATGGTCAATGGMGCATTGCTCGACTTGTTCGAGTAGCGAGAAGAGCTGATCTTTGGATTCATACCCAGGATCATTCATGGAAAGATTACTRCTGTAAACTACGAGTTTCCTGATGTAGAACTCAGCTTTTCTCTTGAGGACATTGATGTGCCAGTTCCTATCAGTTTCAGCTAGTAGTTTGAACCGTTTGCAAGTCAAGRAAAAGCTGTAAAACGAGCTGAAATCGTCTAGATTAGACAAAATGTTACACAAACAATCATCATTCAACGATAAAACCGACACTGACGCCATTGTCAAGCAAAAAAGTCACGCAAGAGAGAACTGACCCGTAACCAAACTTTGTTTCAGCATATAAATGAGATTCTCTGCATTTATCGTCAGGCGTTCCTTGTAAATAAACGATATCCAAATATGGTTCGCTTGCCTGGTAAGGTCTGGCAAGTACTTGCTGCATTACACTGTAAGCACGATTGAATTTCATTAATTACGTATTTAATGTTGCTGTTCATCTCAATTCTACTAAACATCATTACAAATAATATGAGTTCCAGCAAACCATAAAAAATTGTGATTTTCAATTTTCGAATTGTATTTATTCAGTTATAATGTTATAACTAGCTTCTTAGCACTCCGCCAATTTCGAGATCTTATTTGTGCAGAAAGCAGGTAACAAGTTCTTTTAGCAGCAGAGATCCTATTGTAATGCAAACACGCTGTGTACGAAAGAAGACAAATAAAAATTTATGCTTGATTGAATGCTTTCACAAAAGACAGCATTCGAAACTAAAGTATTTTAAATAGTTAATCATAAAAACAGTCCGAGTAATCTGAATCTGAAGTGCTTTCATCATTTTCGAAGAGAACGTGCTTCAAGCAATCAGTCTTTCATTGCTTCRACAGAAAATAGTGAAATACTTCACGAAATGGGKCTGTCAYTTGCGCAAACTCCAGCACAGAAAACAAAAAACACTGATGTTAAATAGTGAGTAATATATCAACATTTATTGATATATTTTGATATCTATTAATACACATTGATGTGATTTTTCTTCCCTGTTTTCTTATTGTACTGTTGTCGACGTTTTATAAAACTCTCCAGATTTTTGATAAGGTCGCTTTCAGTTCTTGACAACCGATACTTGCTCTTTAGATTCGTTTTCCTGAAAAACAAAAACTTTTAATTATTACAGAGACGACGATAACTTTTCTCAACGGACTCCCCATGGACACGAGGGCTGTTTGAGGCTGTTTGAGGTCGCGCCACGGCTTCGTTGACGGRAAATCCGCTKAGCAAAATGATTGTCTCGCTTTTTAGGCAAACKTGCATCCGAGATGCTTTGCGAACGCATGCTTTGTTTTAAAAGAGACGCGTTGTTGAAAGCTTCTTTCTGATTGGTTCAAAATCAAAGATGGCGATTTTTCGCATGTGAGAATATCCGCTAAAAAGCCTCCCAGATGTACGTGAGCTTTTAGCTTTGAGGGGCGGATCCAGGATTTTCCTCAGAGAGGGGTGCGAGGCACTCAGCAGAGGGTGCACTCACAAAAAATCATTACCATGAAGATACAAAATAAGGAAAGTATTGAAGGATACAGATCTCAGAGCGAGGGGGGGGGAGGGGTGCGCACCCCCTGCACCCACCAGCTGGATCCGCCCCTGACTATGTTTTAATAAGCCGTACATGAAATCAGTCAAATTAATCACTTACACACGTCTTTTTCGGTCCCATGGACCGGTCGAGGCAGAGCATGACTTCACTAGRCAATTTATCAACAAAATTCCAACAACCAGGAACAGTAAAGTCTTCATCCTATATTAGTCTGGAAAGTAATAGTACTACCTGGAAAATTAAGTACAGCAGTTTAGCTGCAATGATGTAGGCGCGTTCAATCCACGTGACAGATTATTGAAAGACCCGTGCCGAACAATTAATAATTTTTATAATTTTCACACGGCACATAGCTAGGMTTGTTGGGATTGTTTTTACATGTGTAATTTTTTTATTCAATATATGTTGCGAAATCTTTCTTTCAATTTAGTTCAAAAAAGCACCAGTTTCTTTTCAGTTCAGTTTTTTTATTCCGCAATTATGTTGAACTGAAAATACCATTAAAGCACGCGTTCATATGATTTAAACTTATTACAAAGCAATTAACAAACAATTAATCTTACTTATCTATCAAGTTCTTTTCTTTTACTTCACTAAAATCATTTATTGACGCTATTGTGCATTGTGTCACAAATAGTAATTACGGTAACAGAGAATATTAACGGCGGTTTACTAGTTTTAAGTACTTTAGTGGTAAAAACATAAATTCACGTAATATTTTGATTTGCAATATCAATTCGAATAATATTAATATTATCGATGGCAAAGACACTGTGTATGAACTGATATTAATCTAATACATTTAAAGTCATTAAATGTTGTAAAACAGGATCTATTTGTCGTTTTATCTCGCTAATATTAATTTTTTCGACCGGCATTTAGGAATTCGCTTTGAACAGATTCTGTGGGTACACTAATGTCAATGTATTAACTTTCCATTGAATCTCTTTAAATGAGTTTTTGATCGCTAAAAACGTTAAAGCCGTGCTAAATAAGTACATTACTACCAATTAACTATCATTAATTATTAACAATATATTTGAAACGATAGTTTAAAACTCACCTTGTGACAGTATAACAAATATCGCTCAAACCAACCGCTCAGGCCGACTGCTTAAATATAGCAACAGTGCACTCTTAGTGTGACCCTATATATAAAACTCACACACAATAGGGTACTACATTCGTAGAATAGCCCACGCCGGTAACTAGGTAACGGCCATTTACACCAACTCATTACGGACACTTCATAGCAACGGTTACCTAGCAACAAACTAGATTAAAAACCCCTTTGAATAGCGAAATATCTAGGCTGTGTTTTTTTTTAAGAAAAGAGATATATAAACATAGTGTATTATTGAGTGAAGTCAAGAGGGCGATGGCTAGTTTGGAATTTCTGCGTTGGCGTATATTGTTTTGCGGTAACTTCCCACTTTTGTTACGTTAACCAGATTTTTAGGAAGACGTCGACAGGGAGTTGTTCAGGTGTTTGAACAATCAACACTGTCACAAATACCAGTACAATCATGTTTATGTTATATAAACAAAAAGTAGAAAAAAGAAGTATTTTCTCCTTTCTTTTTCACTTGCTGTATTTGTAAGTAGAAACAAATGACAATATCTTTGTAAATTCATATCCTATTGGGCGCCAAATTGTCTATTTAACGAGACAGTTATTCCAGCTTACGGATTCGTAGGTAACCGCGTTTGGAACGARYGTTGAAGAWGCTTGTTGTCAATAAGGWAGATAGTAATCAGGTTCAACTCGCACAAGGATAGGACTCGTAGTGTCATTTTTAGCTTTAATGAGCATTTACAATAATTGATGATTGCAACTCAACTATTGTCAAAAACACGTGTGTTCTAATTTCTTTCTTTCCTAGTTTACTTTCACTTTACCTCTTTCTTTCCTTTTTTCTTTGTTATCAATTTCTTCCTTCTTCCTGCCTATTTCTTCTTCTCTTTCTTCCTTTCAATTCCCTTGCTTTCTTTTGTCTAATTACTAATCAATAAATAACCAATTCACAACAGTTCTCCAATCTTTGCCACCACGTTACATCTCATCATTGTAAAAGATATTCTTGGTCAAAGATGATATTGTCAGGGTCGCCATCTACAGTGGCTTCAATTCTGATATCAAGTGATCTCGAATCTTTGATATTCTTGTAGCAAGAAATGTGTCCTGATAAAACTTGACCTGAAACAAATGAACGTTAAATGATAAGAACGTCGGTCTTTCGGTGCCCGAGGGGAATAGTAGACGAGAGCGTTCATTGTTCTCAAATAATTGTAAAGAACCGTGCGAATAGTAACTATTCTTTAATATTCTTTTTTCCTGTTTTTTTTTTTACTTGGTTAAAGCTGCTTATTACTAGAGTGCAAGTGCACGGATAGCAACTGAAAATTACGTTCTGGATCCTAGTTCTGGTGCTTTTGTGTTATTGAAGAAGACGTTTCATGTTTTTTTCATGCTATATCTACGTTTAAGTTTAAAATGTATGTACTAGTAGACACTGTGGTGGTTTAAAACCCAAACAATTTGTATTATATACCTTCAGTTACTTCTATAGGCTTTTCCAAGTAAAACACGGTCTGTTTCCAATGTGTGGATTGATGAGCGGGACTTGTACTGAATTCAACCTTAACGACAGTAAACCACATTCTCAAAATACGTTTTGTGACATGTTAAAGAACAAAAAAGGAAAATGAAAAGTACTTTACCTTATTTGTTGCGTTCTTGTCAAACAAAATATCAAAGTATGCGACAATTGCCTAGTGTAAAAAAAAAATCGTACAGCCTAGTGACTTAAACAGGACAACATGGTTACATTGTAGGTAACCTTACGTAGTATACAGTGTATATATAAACTTTAAGATACCGTTAGTTTGTCATTCCTGTTAATTTTCAACTTGAAGGATGATATAAAATTGAGGTCTTCTTTCTTGCATTTATTTACATTCAGGCGCTGTGCAAAAAAGACAAACAAACCACAATTTTATTCGCATCATAAAAAAAAAGAGTGAATTCAAACTGAAATCACGCAGTGCAGCAACACGAGGCAGCCACAGGGCTTAGGTAATTACTTACCTTTATACAACTTGATGTTGATATTATGGCATTTGGTTCCACATTTGCTACACAAGGCTCTTTACTGACAGAGGACTTCATACAAGACATTTTAAATCCTACGAAAAAAAACCTCCCTTGAATTTTTATGTATGTCTTTCTTACAGAGCTTTTCATGTTGGTGAGGGGTGGGGGGAAATAAAATTGACATGCATTCCCATCTAATCTTTAGTTTCTAAAAGCTAGAGCTATGACCAGTGGTGCAGTNTAATGGAGAATCCAATATATTACATTTATCACTTTAGTGGCACTTGGGAGAAACGCACTGCGCATGCGTATGTGTAAACAACAAAATGGCGGTTAATCGTGAAGAGTTCGTACACATAAAAGGCAAATAATTTCTTCTTATATACTAAAAAGTATTATATACTTTAGTAGGGGGTTGAAAATAAGAATGTCATGCCACTGTCATAAGGAAAACCTTAACTTTTCAGTATTTTTTACATTTGCGATTTTGTGTATTTAAAAACTTATTCATCTATTTTTTCTAGTGCTGATTTTTCGAAGTGTTGCACGGTTTGCAGCGAAAGGAAGTCCGTGAAAAAATGTGCAGCTTGTAAAAAGGTGTGTCTCTCAAAGCATCTAGGAAAGGAAAAAACATGGATGCATTGCATGATTGCATTGCGTCCATGGGAACGAATTTGAATTGAGATCAATTTGAATTGTTCTTATTGTACATGTTGTCGTATTCCAGGTTGGCTACTGTTCTGTTAACTGTCAGAAAATCCACTGGACGACACACAAGAAACACTGCAAAAGGCTAGCAAAGGAATATCAACAAGAGCTTGAGGAAGAAGAAAAGATGAAAAAACTTGACGAAGAGAGAAGACAAAAAGAAGAAAARGAAARAAATGATAGTAAAAATCAGGTAGATAAAAATAGCGTTGAAAATGAAGCGAATCAAACAAATCCTTCCTCCGATAACGGAGAAATAGACTTTAATAGCTTAAAAGTCTCTGAAAAAGAGTCGGACGATTTGCAAGATGTTGATAAAACACAGAATTCGACATAAAAASCATATTTATAGATATATTGTCAATCTAGCGAGCGTTAATCCGATTATATACGATATTTTGAATATTTCCCAGTATGCAAAACAAGATAGTCWAACAGCAACATGTTCGCACTTATTAACGTGGGGAACTGGCGCCTAATAGGCCAAGTCTTCTCCTTCCWAAGGCTAAAACAGGAAGCCCATGCATTTGTAAGAAAYKTACAAATATAYAAAGTATTCAATACAAATATAAAAAGTTAATATTTATGTTCGCACTACCAGTGATACTTGTTGCCGTACGTTTAATAAATCCAAGATGCAAATTTAACGTCGAATCGRCTTACGTTCAGGACTTAGATAATTTCGGATCTTCTGCGATTACAAATCTATGTGAATGTTATTATGAATGTATTTGATTGTTTTGTTTTTACTTTTCAAATAAACTGAAATCCTAGAATTTGATGCATCGAGGTTGACGCAAAAAATCATCTAGTTTACTTGACTGAATCTTTTCATTTTTACAAATCTACATGGATATAGTTGAACATACAAATACACTATGCTAAACTATACTGAAAACAKAACTTTATTTTGAAACTATTACTTTGTTTCACGGATAATAGTATTCTTTACTCGCTACTTGTGTGGACTTTTGAGAAACGTTTTTACAGCTGYAAMTGTTTGCCTAACAAAAAACTTGTTTTCTGATTGCTTTTCGAAATTCTCGGCTTCKAATAAAGTAAATCCAAGGATTCGCGGCCGAGTGAAAAAACGAAACAGCAGCCACCCAGKACCACACTAYTTGCATCTCATTAGAAACGAAACAGACATCATCGGAGACTAACATTATTATGAAGACAGCAAGCTGAGGGAAAAAGAGCGCGAAAAACACCCCGCTCACTATTACTGCTGTAATTGTTGCTTTCCTGTTTCTTGCYCGCGTCGTTCTAGCCGTGGAGGACGCATCGTTATCTGAAGCAGAACGGACAGATGTTTCGTGTATCATTTTTACATGCCGCCTTGCTTCGATAGCAAGCTTGATGTTACAGTAGAGGATGACGAGAAAGGGAAGACAAACGGAWATGACGAAGCAGACSACCCAGAAGATCTCTCTCTTCTCATCGTCCTCTCCACAAATAAACAAGGMAGAAGCAATAAMGAACGARAAAAGCCAAATTGATAATATAGACACCGCACACCGTCCTGTTGTGACTATTTCACGRTATCTTAGCGAGTACATCACGGCTATGTAACGGTCGATACTCACACTACACAGACTAAACGTTGTTGCGGTGAGCGTTGAAACCCAAACWAAATTCTCAACGGTAACAATTKCATWRTAAAATTCGTCAGGAAAAYTSTGAAAGTAAAGCYYAATRATTATCRTGAAGACGTACAAAGATGTCATTATGGAACCAACCATTAAATCTGCGATTGACARCGAAGCTAAAAAATACATMGAAGAGTATTTCAGTGAAYGGGTKCGRTAAACGGCYAGTARAACTAGAATGTTTCCTCCAACAGCCAGGACAAAGCATAGTAAGCAGAGACACAAAGGAATAAGTTCTACAGACTTTGGAAAATCCCAATCGGGGCAAAATGGAAAAGTAGARTTGTTAGAMGCCATCTTGTTTTTCTTGTTCTTGAGAAGAAGGGGTCTTTTCAGTTCTAATCGATCTACTTCATAAAATGCTTCAGAATCGCAGGACTGTCAAAAGACAATGTTCAATGGTTCTTCAGATCCTCGTCGTGGTTGTGAATAGTCTACAAAGTAAATAAAATTCAGTAATTTTAGCTGTTTGCACGGGATTGTTGACAAACTTGAAACTTAGGAAATGTGTTGTCAACAAAGACAGCAGTTTTAATTGCACTAGACTTTAACTCTGTCACTACATGGAGACTCCGTGGGATGTAGGAATATTGCTGTTATTATTTTCTATTGCTCCGCAACAGTAAAAGAGCAATAATATATGTTCTTGCGGATCATCCCCACTGAGAGGAAATTCAGAGATTTGAAATAATGAGATTTAGGGATTGAGACAGCGTTCTTTGTCGCGGGAATTGCTATAAGCACGATATTTTATAATTACACTCCGCAGTATGCGCACAAATCTTCTTTTAGTGCAATTTTGGCTTTTTGTTTGAAGTGGGACTAGATATTTTGTAACCAYTTTTTGATATGTTCAATATTTGATGAATGTTTAAACAGTGAATGTTATCGCTTTTAATAAGTATTTTTTTCATTTATGGCGGATTACTGGCGAGTCATTAAAAAAAGTTCATTTGATACCCGTTGTTATTGCCGGATGAAGAAACTTTTTAATCAACTTTTAATATCGAGAAATATATTAATAATTTGTAAGACAACTGTCGTTTTAGTTTGTGTAGTGATGTATTTCTTTTAGGAAAAGTAAAGGTATGGTATATTCACAGGCGAAATTTGCCTATTTTAAACTGTGGCTTTAAAAAAAGCTATTTCACGTGATATAACAAGGTTGGCATAAAATCGCTGAAAATTGATGACAATTGTTAAGACTATTGACAAGATTGTGAGAAAATTAGAGTTCATCGTTTGGACATAGGCCTATGCAAATATTACTCAAGACAGTATGCTTTCCTAGAGTCTTATATTATATAAGAAACGCCGATTGGTTGAAATGCTAACCGTATTAGTGCTGATTCTATTAAACACATACTAAGAATGGCTCAGAGCTTTAAGATTAAGTTCTGGAATTATTGTCTTCAGTGGACGAACAAGCTCTTAATAAACTGTTATTTCAATGAACGAATCCAATAGAAGCTTTTAGACCTGCTGTTTTATTTGCGAAGAGTTTAAATTACTTTTTATACACCTGTTTCAAAGTATATTTTAAAATGAATTCTCCTTTTTTTTCCTCGTGTAATTCCGTTTTTTTCATCCTTCGATATGTCTGCATGTTTACTCGGGCTTCTCATAATTTTTGCCCTCATCTCTAAACATTTGAATTCTAATAACAAAGATTTTAAACTAAGACAAGGATGACAATGTGCATGTATATAGTTCGATCTTTAAATACACTTCGATCAGTTGTAAAGTTTGCTTTTCTTGTTCTAGGAATGACTACCTAATTTAGGATTTTAAAAATTGAGCGGAGCGCCCATTAAAATGTAAAATAAAGCTAAATTTTTTGGACAGTACTAATGGAGTTCACGTTACATTCATCCATTGAAAGTTTCAATGACTTTTTACGCTATCTTTAATCTCAAAAAAGTCGTTGTAGAACGTTGTATAAACATATGTTTTTACGGCGTAGAAATTATTATTTTTTAATCCGGCWTTAGGTGACGAAAACACTACAAAGTACGAACATTTTTCCGCTCTTTTTATGCCATCTTTTACATAGACTTCAATCTAACTGAAAGACTCTGTTGATGCCTAAAGTATRCAGAACTAGAGCTGTATAAACAAAGCATTACATCTTACCTTACCAACTGGTGAACGCTATATAACGACGTAATGCAGGTCCATCCCTTATTTGTATTCTTTAAAGAAAATTGGTTTTCTATTGTTTCATGGTGTTTGAATTTATTGCTCATTAGTGGAGTTAAATCGTATTTAACTAAAAAACCGCATCATGTTATAAACTAATAATTTATACCACTACATCGAAACARCAATTTTCTTAAAATATACTTTCGGAGAAAATATGTTCCGAGTATTGGTGGAGTCAGGGGTAGCATTTCATGGAATATAGTCCTATTTAATTGTTTTTCTCGAGAATTCAGAATTTYATTCATATGTCTCAGGACTGAAAGCAACTCAAATAAAACGTCATTAGTTTTTCCTTAAATTTTTGGCACGCGGTCTTTTTAGCGTGCAATGGAGCAWGAAAAAGTCTATCCGACAAGGTTTTTTTTTTAATTCTGGAAGGCAATTCTCGATGGTTCCATATGTAATGCAAATTAGAAAATCGCAAACTTAGTTTATTGGGAATTGCTCATTATAGACACGTGAAGTTCTGTTCTCAATGCTGATTGGCTGAGCTCGCCCCTTTTATTCCCTGTCAATCAGAAGGTGTTAAACAATTCATCCACAAAGATAACCAAGTCATTGAAAGCAATTAACAGAGATTATCATATCAAACACTTGTAATAAAAAAAAATCCAGTCCTTTACATGGGCGTCTTTTTTAACCATATTTGGTCAATAAAACCTTATTTGGAAGTACGAGTGAACTCTTTCTCGGTGTTTTTATGGGGCCATTGAAATCGTCTAAAACCGTACAGAAAATAAGAGAAGGAAGCCATATTTCTTTGTAGCCTGGCCTTCTTTTGTAACCCGGCCTTGCTTTGGAACCATGCTAGAATGATGTAAAGCACAGGAATCCCGTGCGAGCGAAAGCAAATAAAGTTTTATATATATTCAGACTCCCTTATTTCAATTTTATATTTTTTATTTGACGGAAAGAGTGCAATAACATTAAAGTTTAACAGTCTAATCGTCACGGTGTTGAACCTCAAACKAAATTCAAACGAAATTAATTGTAATAATTACATAATGAAAGTCGTGAGGAAAACTAGGAAAGTTGAGCATGATGACTAATATAAAAACTGAATAAATCAGTTCTCTTTGTGAAACTTTATTATTTTWCTGTTTTGAAGGATCGTTGTCGTTATAATTTTTATACAAACAAACTTAGAGCGCCGACTTTATTACAGTTACATTTAAC